TAAATATCAACATCGACCTTTTTATCATGTACCGTGCCTCACACATAAAAAGACAAGCCTCTTATTTGATCCCATATTCCAATGGGATTTCGGGAATATTTGGTAACCCTTAAAAATACTTATCAAAAGTACTTTTCTGTAAAACGAGACAAACTCATTCATATATTTATTGTGTAAACCGTAAAAATATTTTTAAATTATGATTTGGTTTCTATCCAAACACCCTTTTTATATTTCACATCACACTCCAATCTATTATCTATTATATGCGCTTTGTATGTGGCCCTGTGGGGACAAGATTTCAATCTTTCAACAGATTCGTCCCTGGTGCATAGCAAATCAATTTCTTTCTTTCTTTTTTCAAATGATATCTAGATTAAAAAATAGTTTAATACTAATTTTTTTTTTAGAAATTTCGTTAAAAAAGAGTTGCAAAAATAGGAGTTTTGTAAATACTTCTTTGATCCTTAATATAGGATCTAATTGTTGAATTAGTTTTGATTCTAAATATAAGACCCATTTCTCATGTTTATCAATTTTTTATAAATAAATTACCCCTTTGGATACTCCCTCAACTATGATTAAATAGAAGAGGAAAAAAGGGTATCAAGAAAGATGATTATGGTATTTTAGAAATAACTTGTTATATTTCTTATAATTAACTAATTTACCTAACTTTCTTAATCTAATCAAATTAGTTAAATGGGTCTTATATTAAGGACCGGAAGAGTATAAGAGTACTGATTATTACAAACCAGATATTTAAGTGTCACAAGTCACTTTCGTTTAGTTTAATTAAGATTTTGATAAATGAAATCGTGTAAATAAATTTTATTGTTTTGTAACAAAAACTTTTAAAACATAAACACAGTAAAATCATTTGCACTTAAATGATTAGAGTGCTAGTACTTTGCTTGTATATAAGTTTCGAAGAGTATTATTACTTTTTGTGCGGAAAAACAAATTATTGTTTCCAATAAAATTTTCAATGAGACAATTTTGTCCATCTTTATTCTTTTGTTTTTTCTTTTCAAGGTGAAAGGAAGTGATCATTAAAAGGTGGCCCTGGAAGAACACTTTTTATTTATTTTTTTAACTTTCTACTCCCACCAAGAGCAAGAAGGTGAGAAAAGAATGTTACTGTTTTCTAACTTTTCTTCTAATTAACCAATCAAAATTGTAGTCAGTGCCAATCATTCGGCTAATAATATATGAAAAGTCACCATCTAGTTATATCATTGCCTGGCGTGTTTCCACTTCTTTTTTACTTCAAATATCGTAACTAATGGACATAAAATAAAAGGCAGCTTTATTTATAAATAAATAAATTAATTAAACAGGTAATAATATAATTAAAGTCTGACTATATAATATAATAAAATTGGGTGTTTCTCTCCTTATTTTCCCCAAACTCCTCTTTGAATTTGTTTAAACAATAGTAGCTAGTTTCAATGATTTAGTGCCTGTTTGATGGGGCCCTCCAGCTGCTAAAACATAGTTTATAAGTGTGGGAAGTGTGTTTGTAAATTTGATAGATGTTTGGAACAGAAAACTTGCTTATCACTTACGCAACAACAGTTTTTTAAAAATAAAAAGCATTTTTATCTTTATATTTATGCTGTTTTTATGCTTCTCTCTATGTATTTCTTACACCTTCCAATCAATTTTTAATTATTTACTTCTCATATTCTTTTAAGTAAAAATAATTTTTAACATAATTTGTATAATATTTTTTAATTTTTAATATTATTTATTTTATATTTACATAAATTGTGTAGAGTCTAATTAATTATGTAATATCAGTTGGTTCAAAAATTTTCACATTGCTAAGATTTCTAATTTAAATATATTTTATTTATTAAATATAACTTCTTCCTGTTATAATAATTTAAACTTATTATATTTTTTAAATTCACGTTCTTAATTATTTTTATTATTTAATAAAAATTATACCCATTCTGATGATTCTATGAACTAAACTTACTCATTGAGTAATAATTCAAACAACTTTTCTATTTTATAAGCTAACTTTTATAAAAATCTATCCAAATATGAATCATATCACCCAATCTAACTTTTATCAAATTTAATTTTTTTTAAAGCCAGATTAAAAATAAATTACCGACAATCCAAATGCCTTAGTACTTAGTAGCACAGGTGAGCGAATTCATATGGTTCGTAAAAAAAATTGTCGGAGAAAAAATTCTTGGCCTTATCGCATTTTATAAAATGATCAAAATAATAGCGAAGAGAGTAAACACTAATATAACATAATAAATCTTTTAAGAAGATACATTTATGAGCCATTGGCGACAAAATGCGGTTTATTATTCTGCAGCAACTTTGTATAATGCGTGATGAGACATATTACATTGAAAAATAAAATGAAAAAAAAAAAATACTGCCTTAGTTCGGCTTTAGCATCCTAAACACGAAGTGTTAACTAAATATAATAAATATATAATAAATCACATCATTTAATATTTATTGTTCATGACTCATTTTTTGAGTAATACTACTTCCGGTCCTTAATATAAAATTTTGTTTAACTTTTGTTTTGATCCTAAATATAAAACCCTAATCTATTTTATCTCTTGTATTTATGTATTTTTTTTTAAGATAGTCCTTTTAACAATAATAGTTTTAGCAAATAAACTTGATTAATAAGAATATTTTTAAAAAGACAATATTTATTTATTACAAATAACTAACTTAACTTTTTTCTTCAATCTCCTCAAATTAATCAACTAGTTCTTATAAATAGGACCGGAAATAGTAATATATATATATTTATATCATAATGCATACGGACCCACGGATTTTTGACCGCACAGATGGGAATTCGATGCTGCTGTTGAAATAGATTGATTGGAGGTCCAAATTAACCAAAGGTGCCTTTTACAATGTGTGCGAAGATTTATGCATCTAGTACATCCTTATTAAATCTAAACAGTTTAAATTTAATATCCATAGCCACTTTGTTGATCCCCAAAAAAAAAAAATGTTTAAGCCACTTTCATTTGATATTTTAAAACATTACTGAGATGTGAAATGTTTTAAAAAATAAAACAAACATTTATATCGGTGTAACTGCACGGCCCCTTATTTGAAGTCCAAGGAAGGTACAACGCACATACATTATTAGGCGTGTACATATAAAATTTAAGAAAAATCATATTATATATAGCTTATAAATGGCATAAATTTGATACTCCCTCCGTTCCTTATTATAAGAGACATTTAGTGCTTATGGCATGTTCCTATATATAAGAGGCACTTAAAAGTTGTCTCTACTTTTTTGTGTTGATTTCCTATTTTACCCATATTTATTGTCTCCAACTCACACTCTCTCTCCTTCCCACTTCTCTTTCTTTTAATAAATTACCATTGTTCTCTCTCATGTTCTCTCTCCTTATTAATGAGGGTATTTTTGGAAAAAGAATTATACTTTTTACATATTAATTGTTCTTAACTAATTTTAACTGTTTTTTTGATTAACGTAATTCGGTTATTCGTCTCTTATAATAAGGAACGGAGGGAGTACATTGCAACTTTGATAATTTGATATCGTGTGCGCAGGCCGGTGTGAATGATTGGTTTGATGGCAGACCAAAAAAAAACCCTACAATTTGTCAGCTCTCAAAACGCATCGGCTCGTAAGAGACAGGATCTGAAGAATTAGGATGGCCTGTAGCTCATGGTTGGCCAACAAAATGCATCGAATCCAGTCTTAATTTAAAAGCCACGCACATAGAGACTAGAGAGAGAGAGAGAGAGATGGAGAGAGAGAGAGATTGCCCACTTCTAGTGGATATGTGTTGGGAGACTCCAACTCTCTTCCAGCGTATCTCTGTTCCTGTTGGCTGCTGCACAATTCCATTCAAAATTTTCTGCTTGCCACCCCAGTAAACCAATTCAATAACTCTGCTCTTTCAAATATTTCCCCTTTTAAGTGGTTAGTTAAATACAAACTAAATTAATCCATTTGGTTTAACTAAGTTGTTTTAATCAAAATTTTGATGAAGAGATTGTTATCTGAAAATGCAGAAGTTTTTTCATTTTTATTAGTCCAGCTATATATTGCCTTTCAAACCCCACCATCTTTCTTCCAAAGCAAGATAGTAGTGCCATTTACATTTACTTTAGATTACTCAAAAATGTATTCCCTCCCCCCCCCCCAAAAAAAAGTTTCAAGAGAATAAAATTCCCAATGGCTGTATATATTAATTTCATTTGATTTTTTGAAGATAGAAGTGAATCATTTGGATCACATTTAAAAGACGCAGAAACAACAACACAGGAAGAGAAAGAGCAGACAAAATGGAAATGGGGGAGATTTTTTTTTTTTTAGGGGGGGGGAGGCTACAATGATTGCTAAAACAGGCACACCCACGAGACAATATCTTTAAAGCTTGTTGAAAAAAAATGATGCAAAGGAGCTGTTGCTTGTTTTCACAGAACTCCTTTCATGAAACATGTCCTCCCACTCATCAGAGCTGAAAACTTTTTCCTGTTTTCTAGACTCACTTGCCTAACTCCACTACATTGGCTTACTTGGATTCAAGTCACCCTCCAACCATAACATTAAGTGCTGCTTCTATCCCTTTGTCCATGGAATTTAAGTCAAATCACACATCCAATCCAGCGATACTACCATGACCCAGCAAAAAGGTTGGTGCTCCGCAACTTCGGACTTCAACAACTTGATTGGCACACTTAATGAATATTTATATCAAGTAACTTGAAATATTTGGAGCATGGTATCTTAATATCGTAAAAAGATTCAAGTAATTTGGGCTACGATGTCCAAAATCTGGCCCAAGAAAAGAAAACTATATTGTCCAATATGCTGTTCAATATTGGGTCTAAGTTTAAATTGGCTCGCACACATCTGTGGCTTAAAGCCGAAAATTTTCTATGGGTCCTGTTCAACACAAACTACCGAGGAATGCTGGTCCAAAAAACAAAAAACCAAAAAAACTACCGAGGAAGAACATTTCTGCGGCAAATAACAGTGCATGGCACAAGAAAAAGCCTCATCCAGGGAAGATATGTATACATATAAATATATCTATTACATGTGACAGGTATAGGTGGTTATGTGTATGCTTATGTGCAATCTCACGTCTTTCACAGATTACATCGGTATAAAGTTATGATTTTTTCTTTTTGGTGTGCTTAAATGACTGATACAAATAATCATCAACTTGCTGTCAATGGCTGCATAACGCGGGACTACCAGCCACCATGACAGGCAATTCTAGAAGGGAAGCATATACATTATACACAGTCAGTTTATACAACGTAGCGACGAAGATAGTCCAACCGGGCAGGATGCTTAAGCTTCATCAAAGCCTTGATCTCGTGCTTCCTTACCATTTCCCTAGAAATGTTCAAATTCCCAGCGATTTCTCCCAATGTTCTGTCTCCCTTACCATCAAGCCCGTACCTTTGCCGGATCACTAAACTCTCCTTCGGCTTCAAGGAATCAAGCTGCGAGTGATGCTCAAAGATTAGTCCCAAGTATTACCACTGAGATACAAGGCCTCTTTTTTTCATCATACTTCTTAAAACATGTTTTAAGGGCATAACTTATCACAAATTCAAAAGACTTGTGGGAGTTCATCATGCATAATCTAATTATCATAGTCATAGTTCTATAGAAAGACCTGTTAGAATGAGATATACAATATCAAGGTAGGATTCTTGGAGATTAGGCCATTACCACATCATCAAGTGCGAGCCTCAGAACAGCAGGCTGCTTCCTGCTATCGCCGTTAACACCTTCGAAATCGGTGACTCCATCTATAAACTCCTCTTGGGTGATTGCATGCCTCGAGTGAAGGGAAAGTATAGGTTTTGAGGCCTTCATTACTTCATGGTATCTTTCAGGAGAAATCCCAACTCTTTCTATTATCTCCTCCTCTGTTGGTAACCTCTGAAGCTCAAATGTTAACTCAAGTTTTGCTCTCTGAATATCTACCCTAACCTGCAAAATTACAAGCACTGAAGCTATAAGCAGAAGCTACTCAAGCACAGCCAAATTAACTAACATAGGCCTCCATCGTTGTGGATCTGATGGCACACATTTTGTGAAGGGGCATCAACAGCCAAAATAAGATATGTTTTTCAGTCTTCACAGACTGGTTCATGTAAAATCCTTCTAAATCTAATAGCTAGTGAACACAATCATGGATTTTGCCTGATTTTAACCACAACAATCCGGATGATTAGAAATTTTCAACATTTCAAAACTGTTACTGGGCATGAGTCTGTTTAGATGGGGAAAATGCTTCCTGCCTAAAATGGAGAATAATGGCAATTCAAAGATATGCTATTGTACGCAAAGTTTCAACGCCTAGCTCATATAGGAAGAAAGCATACCGATTCAAGTCCAAATGGGACACGAGTGAAGCTTGAGAGGGTCATGGAACGAATAATGGCATGTCTTATCCAAAACAAACCATATGTGGATAGCCGAAATCTTCTTTTTGGCTCAAAACGATCAATTGCTGTTATAAGTCCCTTCACTCCTGCCTGACAAAGATCTTGGAACCTTGCGCCATTTGCAAAATCTTGAAAATATTTGTTGATCACAAACAACACAAGCCGAAGATTGTGCTGCAACAGATATCGGTATGATTTATCAAATCTTTATGCATTTCTTCTTCCATAGAATAATGGGATCCAAAAGAAATGAAAATACACAAAATACTTTTGACCATCACCATTGTTACCTTTATGAGCTTGTTGCGTGCAGCTCGACCAACTTCGATTGCTCTTTTCACTTGAATGCTGCTCATGTTTGCTGCAGCACCTAGTTCATCGTCTGTTGGCTCTCTTTTGAGATCCTTTTGTAAATCTTCTTTTACTCGAAGGAGAGCCTAAATAATAATGTTAGAATGAATTCAAGTCAGGATTTGATATATGTCGCTCCCGTACCCTTATATGGTTAAATTTCAGCACAGGAATTTGTAATGCTTCAAGTCAAGAGGCTTAACACGATGAACATGTTACAATAAATTTGTAATGCTTCAAGCTAAATCTAGCATCACTTGGAAGCTAAAGCATTCAGGTTAAATAAATTCTTGACATGCAGACCCGAAAATAACTACACTTCTTTGTCTTAAGAAAAAAATAAAATCAGGAAGAGAGAACCAAAAAATGCTAGCTACTTTAAAAAAAAAAAAAGAAAGGAAAAAGAAAATCACAACTCACCTTCATAGGTTGCATCAACTTGAACAACCAAGTATGCTCTGAAGGGGGAAGAACTGGAGGAATCTTCATTTTTTTCCAATCCAAGCTGACTAAATCGGTTGCTGCTGAATAGTCCCTGACAAGCTCCTCGATTTTCTCAACTCTACTCTTCACGTTTCTTTTCTTTCTTGTCGGAGCAACCACTTCCTCTTGTTTGTTCCTTTTTAACGCAATTCTCTTATCAAGACTTAATCGTTTGACCTTCTTATTCTGGTTTCTAACCACACTATCATTATCCATCTGATTGTCACTATCAGTCTTCTTCCTTCTCCGTGAGGCTCTCCTGAGCCTACCATCTAAATCTTCCTCACTACAAGTATCAGAGACTGGGCTCAGTTTGAATATATTTTCAAGTTGGGCAGCAGCTTCATTGTAATCCATATCCAAAGCGGATGGAGACGCTTCATCCGTAAAGGCAGCTTTCACTCTCTTTGGTAATTTATTAGCTTTTGCTATCTTTTTACGGTGTGCCTTAGCTGTGTCTATCAGTAGAGGAATCTGCTCTTGAGGTGCAACCAAGGAAGTATTATTGGATTTATCTCCTTTAAATGCTACAATTGCCGGTTTCTTCAGTGCAGGCCAATGACTTGAAAATTTTGTATTCAGTCCTAAAGTAGTCCGAGCAGCTGAGCTAGATACAGTCACAACTCCCATAACAAATTGTTTAAGCTGAGTATTGAGATGAATAGGCAGATCTTTAGTGCACAGATCCTACAAAAAATTTTCATGTAAGCTTTTCCGCCATGGAGTTGCCATCTTCTCACACGAGTTCAAAACTAATAAAAAGAGTAAAAACTTGATAAACTCACCGAAAAGAAATCAAATATTGAAAATTACCTACACACTCGCCCACACAATGAATACTGATCCAGAGCCCACATGGCTCCAAACGACTACCGACCATAACCGTGTTTAAAAGCTAAAATAAAATTCCCGTACCAAACGAAGAAAGTAATTAAATGTACCAAATTCTCTCAGCCAACTTACTAATGGCATTATATTACTTATATAATCACTGGTTCTTCTTGCTATGTTAGTGGAAGAATGTAGCCTTGCTAAGCAACCCAAACAACGCACATTAACGCACCAAACCAAGTTCAACTTTTGTTGACCAGAACGTTTGCTAAAAGTGTGCGGGGCACTTCTAATTCAATTTCACCTATTGAAGCACAATTTCTATAGACAATAGAACAGAAATGAACACGATTAAGTAGCTGAGGAGTGTAGATCCTCCACTCGCACTTGTAAGTTTCACGCACAAAACATTACTGGAACGAAGATACCATTATCTGTGTTTCTCTATCCATCAACCTCTGCCTAGAGAAACAAAATACACTTACACAACACAATAAATCAACACAACATAGGACGGAAGCTGCCAAACAGTGCCGCTAAAGTGTTGAAAAGCCCTTCAAATTCTCAAGATTCCGGGGAAAAATCAAGCGATGCAACAATCAAAAAAGCAAATACTTCAAGATAGCTTAACTGCATAGCGATTTGAACATGAAAAATGAGTACCTATGTCAGATTGGGGTGCGATGGTGTGGGGACGAGCTCTCCGAAAGAAGATGTACGCGGATACCCCGAAGAATCTGCGTGTTAGAAGTTCGTGAGGTGGGAGTCTTAAACTTGAATTGCGAGAATTACGGCGTCCACAAATAATATCTATGATTAATCAACGGCCAGTAGCGACGGTCAGTGAGATCTACAGTGAAGGACGGTACACATGGGATGTGATATGGAAGATATGCAAATGACGTGGCAAATAGCCTGAAGCGAGAGGAACGTCGTGGCTCTTTTGGAGTGGGGGAGGAGATATTTTGTGCGAAATTGTGGATGACATCTTGGACACGTGGTTGGCTCTAACAAGTTGTGTGGGACCCAATATAAGAGGTTGTCTCTTGGTTACGTTGCTCTTTATCAAACCATGAATTAATTTAATTTAAGCGGATCACGGAGCTCTGGGGCTGCGGGCTTTCTCTTCATGTCTTGGATATGCAAAACCACCCCTTTTAAATTGCGTAATTTACTCTTAACAAAAGTCGTCACTTATTTCTTTTGGAAAGAAAATAAATCTGTATAAAAATTACAGGAGAGAAAATAGATGATAGTTTAAGTGGACCTCATAATATTGATTTTCTTGGCCAGCAATAATAATGTTTTAATTCTTATGAAAATTATACTCCACTATATTTCAATCGATTTTATAATTTCTATATTGACGAATATATTAGATAGAATATAAGTAAATTTTAATCAATCCTTTTAAATATAAACACTTATTTTTTAATTTTAACAAAGTTATATACTTCTGACAATTTGTGCAAAAATGTGGAGAGACTTGTGTGGTCTGAGAATAGCTAGCTAACAGATTGCATAATTTTCTTTGAATATAATTTTTTGCCCGATTTGTGTTTCTTTGCAAAATTATTTCATTAACTGTCTTGACCGTTGATTTGTATTGACATTTTGTTATGTTTTAAATCATTGTGCTAATTTTTAATTTTAATTTAGCATGACTTTTTTTTTTTGGGCCAGACTTGTTATATTCAGCATAACATTTTCAAACCAGGGAATCAAATAACGAAGTCATAAAAACACTGCTCACAATAATAAAAAATTTCAACAGCTTACTGCTTTTATATGCGGTTGGCATGCGCGTGCATGTGCGGTATGCACAATAACGATCCATGCGTTGCAGAACACAAATGATTCGTATAAAAGCCGCGCTCTCCGGAAGCAATGTCCTGTGAAAACCGTTGGCTCCATGTATTGCATGGAATCCACCACGCAGGCGTGGTTGTAGTATTAAAATTATAATCTCTAACTAGCTAGCTGTTATGTTAAATACTTCTCTAATTCTTAATATAGGATCTAATTGTTGAGTTGGCTTTAATTCTAAACATAAAACTCATTTCTCATATTTATCAATTTTTTTTTAAATTACCCTATGGATACTCTCTCAACTATAATCAAGTAGAAGAAGGAGAGGGAGTATTAAGAAAGATGATTATGGTGTTTTAGGAAAAATATGTCACATTTCTTATAATTAACTAATTTACCTAACTTTTATAATATAATTAAATTAGTTAAATAGGTCTTATATTAAAAATCGGGGAAGTATCAAAAATGAGATTTCTATTTAATTTTTTAACTTTAAAAAGTATCTTTTTAATCCTTTAACTCTAAAATCGTTAGTTTTAAATTATTTTTTTGTAATAATCACAATTTTAAGACTAAATGACTAAAAATATATTTTTTAAAGTTAAAGAATTAAATAAAAACTTTATACTACCTCCGGTATTTAATATAACAAGTAGTTAGAGATTATAATTAATCATAAATATAAGACTTCAATCAACTTTGTTTCTCAAATTTATAATTTTTTTTGAATATCTTTATTGACTATTAAAGGTTCTACCAAGGTAGGAAATAAAAAGAAGAGAATATGATAAAAAATTTTAATAAGCTCGGTTTAAAAAATTTAAAAAGTGGGGGTTTTAAATTTTTTAAACCGAGCTTATTAGAATTTTTCTTCCTCTATTTTTTTCTCCATTTCCCTCGTACTAAATATAAAGGAAGGGGAAGGATAAAGAAGAAAAATTCTAATAAACTCAATCTAAAAAATTGAAATAGCTGGGTCAAAAACTTTTAATTAATTTTCATTTTATATTTTCTTTTCATTTAAATTTTAAAATCTCACTTATTTGATTTTTTAAATTGAGATTAAAAGCGCATGGCTCTTCCATTTCCGCATCGGTTTCAGATTTTTTTATGTCTAGCTTCATCTGATACTTTGGAATTATTTTTTCAAAATTAAAACTGTGCCATATTAAGAGGGTTTTAAAAAAAAAAAAACCTGGTGTTATAAAAGCTAATTTCATGAATTTCTTTAATCAATCCTTAATAATCGAAGAGGGTGTATATCCGCGTACCAAGACAAGCGTAGTGTAATTTTTTAATTATATCTGATTAGAATAAAATAAAAGGAGAGTTACAATAAAATCCCAAAAAAAAATTACAAAATAAGTCTAAGAGATTGTCATATTCTACTCTAAAAGTTGTTATTACAAATTGTTTAGATTGTTATTATAACCTTTTAGCAAGTATCTTATTATAATTCTTCTTAAAATAAACAATTTTCCCTCTCCTATTCTTCTCTATATATGACATATCCCTTCCTGAATAGTGAATCTACATGCTAAATTGCTTTTTTTTTCTTTACCAGAACATGCTAAATTGCCTTTATTGCTTGAAGAATAATAGCTTTCAATATTTTTATTGCGAGCACACCGGAATAAAAAATGAGAGACCTTAGAAAACTTGAGACTAGGGGTGTTCATGAAGCCTAGTTGCTCGTTATGCCCGTCCAAACCAGCAAAAAAAATACCCAACCCATCCAAAAAAAAATAGCCCGAAAGAACTATTGGACATGTTCGAGCTGGGCAAACTGTTGGGCAGGGTTGGGCATCGGACACGGTATGCTGCTCTGCCCATTTGGCCCTGCCCGCAAAAATATATGTAATTTTATTTATATATATTTTATTTGCCTCATATTTATTTCCTAAATCAAACGCATTGTTGTATCGATATTCAGTATTCATTATACTTATTTATTTTTGAATGATTTTGAGAGTTAGGAACTAGAAAAACAATTAAGTTTAATAAAATATACTAACAACATTTTTTGTCATAGTCCACTCCTCTTAGCTACTACAAAAAGTAGTTTCATAGTATATTAATTAATAATAACAAAATCAAGGCCAAATTTCCATTTTAATATAAAGTTACATTAGATTATTTAGAGGGATATAAATAATTAGTTAATTAATATAGTATATTGACTTGTTGGGCATAGAAGCCCGCCCTGCCCAGCCCGCATTTGCCCAGCCCAAACTTATTAGGGTTTTTCATGGGCAGGGCTGGGCAACGGGCTACATTTTTTAGCCTGTTCATTCTTCGGGCTGGGCATCGGGCAAGGGTCCTGCCCTACCCGGCCCTGCCCATGTGCAGCCCTACTTGAGACCAGCACGAAAGCCTGGAGTGTGAAATGACATAGATGCCCTTTGATGGAGTCTAATCTGCCGAGGCCTCACGTCTTGTCCCATATTGCAACCTCCATCAGCATCTGCTCGGTTCTTTTTTTTTTTGGTAAGAGAAAATTTTAAGAAGTGGATTGGACTCACCTACGATCCAAGAACAGAACACCTAATGCTTAATTTACTGGGATATGTCTTTACCGGTACGGAAGCATGATAAGCAAACCCTTTTTTTCTGGCCTAATAGATAGAATCTCTCAGCTTCATTATGCTGTGTGATGTGTCCGCCAAATCGAACCCTTTTTTTAAATGAGAGAATCTGATCCTTTTACTAACTGAACTCTGTCGGTTCTATTTAGTTGGTCGCTTAACGAGGAGCGCCCGTCACGGTCTCATGATATAGGCCCTATCATGTTCTAGATGACCCATAAAATTGCGGCCTGTCTTTTACTCCTTTAGTCTTCCTTTTGTTCATACAAAACCACCGGTATGTTCAGTTTTTTTCACCTTTTTTTTTGCCAATAAAACTTAGTACAATTGATATTTAATTAAGTTCTTTAAATATTTAATTAGGAGTTTGATCCCACACAATGTCTCGTGACATGTACTAAAATCTTTTTCAAAAGTTATGATGTGAGAATATTAGTTACTGTTACTAACGATGGATGCCATGGATGCCTTAGGTTCAACCGAAAAAAGAAAAGAAAAGCCCCTTGGTTTAACTATAAGCTGCAGCTTGCAAAATATACACTTGGTTTAATTTAGTGGCAAAATAATAGTAGTTCTTTAATTTTGTCCATCCCTTCTTGTTGGCTCCATGGAATCCACCACGCAAGCGTGGTTATGGTACTATAATTATAGTCTCTAACTAACTGTTATATTAAATACTGAAACTAGTATAAGGTTCTTATTTAATTTTTTTAACTTTAAAAAATATATTTTTAGTCGCCTAACTCAAAAATTATTAATTTTAAAATATTTTTGAGTAATAATCCTGATTGTGTTGAAAACTAAACTTTATATTTTAGTATTTAAGAATATTTTGTCAGTATTTAATATCCCAATATTATTATCTTTTGTTAGCAGTTTTAAGATTAAATGACTAAAAATATGCTTTTTAAAATTAAAGGATTAAATAGAAACCTTATACTACCTCCGGTATTTAATATAATTGCTAGTTAGATATTATAATCTGTCATAAATATAAAACCTCAATCAGCATTATCCCTCAAATTTATAATATTTTCTTTAAAATACTTTTATTGACTATTAAGGGTTCTACCGGGGTAGGAAATTAAAAAAAAAGAAAATGAAAGAAAAAATTTTAACGAGCCTGGTTTAAAAAACTAAAAAAATGGATTAAAATTTTTTAATTTTATCCTATATCTTTTTATCAAAATTTTAAAACCCTACTTTTTAAATTTTTTTAAATTGAGCTCATTAAAACTTTTTTTCCTCTTTTTTCTTCTCCATTTCCTTCATACTAAATGCAGGCCCTTTTGATATGAGATAAATGAAGGGGAAGGACGAACTCAATTTAAAAAATTGAAGTAGCTGGG